TTCCGAACTGCAACATTATGTTTCGTTTCAATACAAACTATTGACTCACTTAAGATGCTGTAAACGGTTTTGACAAAAGAAATTAGAATGAGAAGAACCACACCTATAAGTAGCTTTCATCTACACTTGCCTCAATTTACTTGCCCGATTATACAATTTCTCTACTATTCCTAAATTCTCAGGTATCTGTTACACCCCAAAGCTCTTCTTTAGGCGTGACCTGCTGCTGTTCCCCTCTGATGCTTACCCAAGCCACAGGGAAATGTTACACCTGGCTGCCTCACACGGATTTGTCACACTGGCAATGTTGCTTCCTGGTACAGGTCAAGGGGCTCATCACTAAAGAGTCCAACGGCACTTGCTTTATTTCATTTTAAGAGCTACGATTTGTCCTAACTCTGCTAACAACTTTGGCTCACATGATGGTTTCCTATGAATTCCTCAGAACTTCAGCTTTGGGATATTTCAGGCATAATTCTAAATTTATTTACTGATCAAAGCACAGTTATGGGACATACAGGAGGAGGCCTAACAGATAATCAAAAAGTAAATGAGAAAAAAAAGCAAAACAGAACTATTTGTTTTTAAGTTGTGTACAGTGCCCACACACCAAGCTGGGAAGTGAAGAACATGTTTTTATTTTAATACACCTAATAAAAACATAGATTTGAAAACACAGAAAACAGAAGCCTTGTCATTTATTAATTCATTATATTTTGCTTCCTTTTGGAAACATTTAAGAGCACAAACAGCAAAATAAATACCACAAATTCCAGCTTCGTCTCCCAAGATAAATATCAAAGGTTGGGAATACTATCTACAAAGATGCAGATTTTCCAATTACAGCTAATTACTCTATAAAATGATTTTCTATACAGTCCTTTCATATTCAGAATTGTTTAAAGCAGCGTCTCTAATGATTTCTGAAGAATAAGAATATTTTGAGCTTGTTATTTTAGCTAATTACCATTCACAATAATGGCAAATGCAGCAAGATGCATCCCCCAAATAATCCAAAAAAGAAAGCATATATTTAACTGTAATTAGACCTTGTCTCAACAATGCCTGAAGCAGTATAGAGCACTTCCTAATAAGATTTTCTATTGTTTTTAATCACTTCTTGGTGCACTTTTCTAATCAGTCCAATTTTGCAAGTAGTAACAAGTTAAAAAACAACCTTGGAGGTCTGAATTCAAATTCACAAATTCAGCCAGAGTAACAGTCTGTGTATTATCTATACTGGCAATTTCTAAATCAACATGAGATATTTTCTAAGAAATTAGCTCTCATTCAAACAAGAATTGAGAGATAGCCTGTGGCCTGTGCTAAAAAGCTCAGGTCAGATACTCCAGAAGACATGCTCTCTCTTGTCTTTAAAATCTATGAAACATGTTTATTGTTTATTATATTTATTAGTAAAACCTCAAAACAGCATTACAATGTCTAATGTTAGATTTGTACAATGCTTAGTTTTAAAGGAGAGTTTGCCAACCTGCTGCTGCATTTCAGCTGTATAATCAAAAAAAGATTGCATGAGTTTCACTGCCTCCCATTACACATGCATTTATCTTTTATTTTCCCATACTCATCATTCTAATAATGCATAGCTTCAGATGAGTTTAACACTCCTTTCTCCAAGGAACACTGATATTCTTTGTAGTGTTCACAAAATATTGCATTAAAAGGTTACCCAACAATTTGGGCAATAGTTTGTCCAGTTTGGGTTTGTCCTTTTTGACATACCCAAAAGTCCTAAGATATCACATATTCTATAATGGATTACAAACAAGTTTATACAGTAAGAATCTTAGATTTTTTTTTTTGATCATTTGGAAAATAGTGGTTAGACCAAAACTTGTTCATTCTCAGAAGTAAACCAGAAAGGACATAAAATTAAGGTTAAATTACCTACAGTTTTTGCACATTATACTAGTAATCAAATAAAGAAAAAACACCATTCCAAGGCTTTATAAGTATATACACACACTTATATTGCACAAGTTTCTGATACATTTTCCTTGTTCATGGAGAGAAACGTTTTTCTTATTACTGAGACAAAAATCCATGAATTTCTGTCAACCATATGTCAACCACAAAGATATTCTGAAATTTCTACAATAATTAAACACATAACATGGACAAAGAATTAATGCTACATTTATATAAAAAAATATTTTTTTAAAAAAATAGAACACAGCATTGTGTTATTGGTGAAATCATTTACAGAGTAGTCTAGGTCTTCTCATTTCAGGTTTCAGCTGCGAGGGGTAGGAAAAAAGGGTGGTCCTGCACCATTTCTTCTTCCTCAGTGGGAAGCACATGTCTCATTCTTTTTTATTTACAATTTAACTTTTAATTTGTTTACAATTTAACTTTTATTTAATATCAGCATGGTTCTACCAAAAACGTTTTTTCTGTGTTTTTGTTTTGTTTCTTTAAGAAAAAAGAAAAATAGGCTGAATGGCAATAAGCACATTTAGTCAGCAAGTCTACCCTGGCTAAAGAGGGAGACGTGAAAGGTACATGTAGGCCTAGAGTAGTAACTGTGGCCGAGAGATGCACATCCAAAGCGTCCACTCTCTGTTCACATGGACGCAAGGCACAAGGCCACAACCTGAGAGCACTTTCAGCAGCCAGACTGCTAATTCTGGCTAGTATAGTTTGCTGCGCACGTCATGAGTGTTTCCAGTGGTCGGGGAACACAACGGTGCTTTTACACAAGAACAGCACTGCCAGGGTAAGCACACTAAACACAATTACGTGTTATAAAGCACAACCTCAGCACCAGTGAAAACTGCATGATAACATCTAGTCTTTATTTGCAGGATACTGTTTAAAAATCTGCTGTCACTAATGCTATCAGCAAGCTAGGAGAGTAGTTAGGCATGTAATCTCTCCTCCATCTCTCACTTTTAGGCTACTTACTCTCCAAGAGCACCTATTTTCACTTCAGTTGAAACAAAAATAGGAACTAGGCTGTTGATATCCTGGCATTTTCCAAGTTACGGTGAATATTTACCCATCCGAGGGAATTACAAATTCACTGTCAGCAAGCTTGGAGAGTAAGACTAAAGCCTAAGTTAGGCATGTAATCTCTACTCCATCTCTCACTTTTAGGCTACTTACTCTCCAAGAGCACCTATTTTCACTTCAGTTGAAACAAAAATAGGAACTAGGCTGTTGATATCCTGGCATTTTCCAAGTTACGGTGAATATTTACCCATCCGAGGGAATTACAAATTCACTATATTAATACAATTGCAAAATTGAGACATCTATTGTTCAACTGGCATAAACGAGACTATGTAGTTTGCCTTCTGAAGATTTACCAATATTTCAAACATAAACAAACATATGCAACATCCAGACTAATGTAAGTACTTAAAAAGGATACAAATAGACTAAGACTTGGCAATCAAAGTAGAAGCTATGACATTTGGCTTAATGGTAAGCCCCTTATTTCCTCCAAACATTTAGGCACATTCCTATTTAAATAGAGTCCTCTGTCACATTGCACTCACACAGCTGGGACTCAATTATCACCTCACCAGTTGACAGACAGGCAGATGACAGACATCATGTAGTCAGTAAGAATTACTGCACACAGAAAGAAAATGCAAGTGTGCAAGGAATTCTGCCAATTAACCAGTAATGAAAATGCAGGGACTAGAAAGGCAGAGTCCTCCAGAACAAGCTCTGCAAAGACTGCACCCCATACCCAGCACATTCCAGGATTTTTAAGGCAATAATAACCAGCAAAGCCCAATGATAATAGTAGAGATATGGAAATGATATTTGTAAAAGCATTTAAGGCCAGGAATTGCCATATACGCCTATTTTTCAACTAGGCATCACCAGATTTAAGGACAACCCACCATCAACAGATGAAATTTAACCCTGCAGCCGCACAAAACCGTGCGGCCCACAAACCCTTCCAAATCATCCCAAATAGCGAGG